CTGAGCAAGTCTTCTCAAGATTGGCTGCAATTACAATCACCTGGGATCTTTAAAGAGGCCTGAAGTCTGGGCAGTCCGGATCTGATTTACAAATCAGAATCTCTGGGAACTTGATACTTTGAAATGATGCCCCAGGAAGACAAGTTCTGCATACGGGCAAAGTTGCGGACCTCTGGTCTAGAAGAAGGTGACGCTCACACTGAGGAAGTGGTCACTTCTCAGTAACTATGGTGGATGCAGGAAGTTCTCTGCAACGGGATTGGGTCCCAAGGTCCAATCACAGAGCTCGAAGCAGAAACAGAAACTCTTTTAATGGGAGGCTTTCTGTACCTACAGCTCTGGCAGTTGTAGAGGAGTTCCTGATGTTGGAGAGGTGAGTAACACTCCTGCCTCCCTACTTTATTCCACTGCTACATTGCTACAATAAAAATTCCTCCTCCCTTTCTTTGAAAGTTTGGGATGTCACCCCTTTGAAGGGTTATTGAGATTTCAAGTGAAACTCCTCTTTGTGCAAAAGTTTCTCTCTCCTGGGTTGAGTTTCTACAAGTAGCGTTCTACACCCATGTCCTCGAGAATCTCATGCATATTTTTATTCATTGCACTCTAGCTGCTTTTACTGTTCTCCTGAGATTGCTCTTAAGACCTTGTCTGCTAATGCAAAGAATATCGTTTGTTCCCTTTCTAACAAGTCTCCAAAATGTTGCTGAATCATTTTTCTTTTCCTTTTTTTTTGTTTGAGAAGCTTTTTATTTTATTTTATTTTATTTTATTTTTTTTACAAACAGTTTATTGTCAAATTAGTTTCCACATAACACCCAGTGCTCATCCCCACAAGTGCCCTCCTCCATGCCCATCCCTCCTCCCCCCCACATCCATCAGTCCTCAGTTTTTGTCAGTATTCAAGAGTCTCTCATGGTTTGCCTCTCTCCCTTTCCCCCACCATTTCCCCCCTTCTTCTCCCGGTTGGTCCTCTGTTAAGTTCCTCCTAATCCTCCTATACGTGCTGAATCATTTTTCTATTAAATAAGTCCTTCTACAAATAAAATGAACACTAATTAAAGACAGGGAAATCAAGAGGAGCAACAAGAGTTCGCCATTGCATTGCAGTATAAATAAAACTGCAGAATTTTGGGGTATATATATCCTATTTCCATGTAAGATTTTCTTCGTTGCTGTAATTGTAAACAATATTGCAAATTTAAGTTTTCTCTTTTCCACTGTAATTATACAGAGAGTGTTGCATAGCGATCATCAGCCTTGAAAACCCATCAGGTGTTGACACACTTTGCTTTATCTGTTGGCTTAAGAGAATTCTTCTGTATTTAACCAGTTGACTTTACTCTTCTGCCTTGTCCTTATTTTTTCTGTGTAATCACTGGTAACTTTAGAGTGGCGTCTACTTGAATCAATTAGCAGAGAAATTGAAATCACAGGTTCTGGGATAAGACTGGTTTGAGTAGAATATTGGCTTCAACACTTAACAGCTGGGTGAGAACTGGCCATCCCTCAACCTCTGTAAACTTCCATTCTCCACATTTTAAAGGATCGTCTTTACACAATGACCCCACCCAACTCTTTCAAAGGGGCTAAATTACATGTTGAACACCTGACCTGACTAGCATATAAATGGCACTTGGGAGGGGCACATCGCCATCATCTCTTTAAAAAAAAAGAAGACACATGAAATCTGATAAATACAACCTGAAGTCAAATTTGAAGAGATCATATGGCCAAGAAGGACTCTCCAAACTAAGGCAGGGAGGGGGAGGCGGGAATCAAGGTGTTGAGGATTTTGAGTGAGCAGTGGCTCTCTGCCTTCAGAAGGAGGAAGGGAGATGGGGAGGGAGGATAACAGTTGCCTGTTCATATGAGAAGAAACACTAGAAAAATGTCCTTTTTCCTAAGCTTGCTAAAACTTTAGGCACTCATAAATACCTTAAAATGTCAGGTGGTCTTCCCCCTTCCATTTAGGCATTTGGTTTGTTTTGAGTTAGTTTTTGTACATAACGTGTGACTATTTGTGGGAACCTTCTAGAACAGGCAAATCCATGGAGACAGGGAGCACACTGGTGGTCACCAAGGGCTGCAGGGAGGGGAGAATGGGGAGCGAGGTTTCCTTTGGGGGAGATGAAAGTGTTTGGAACTAATCCGAGGTGGTGGTTGCACACTTGAATGTATTAAATGCCACTGAACTGTTCACTGAAAATAGTTCATGGTTAATTTTATGTTACATGAATTTTACCTTAATAAAAATGAAACATATGCTTACATGGAAAAACCATTGGTCAGCGGGATTTGTTTCAAACCCAATACAAAGAGAACTATTAGGTGTGTGTTGGAGCAGGTTTGGTGTATGTGGAAGGTGGGACGAGTCTCCTGGTTTTAGAGTAAGATGTGGATGCCTGGGATTGCAGTCCGGGATGCTTCAGATGACTTTATCCCTCACACCATGGTCTAGAGCAGATGCAGGTGCTTCAGGCTAACCCCCAAAGGGCCCGACTTCCCTCTTTCATGTCTACTGCAACTTCCTGATTGCATGTACCTTCTCCACATGCCTGGCAGGGTCGGGAGACAAAAGTCAAAGGTACTCAGCTGTTTCCGCCACCTTTATATCAAGACAAAAAATAACATTCTCAAAAGCCCAGCCAGAAATAGTTAAGCTGACCTCCTGGGCCAGCAATGTCCCATGGCCACCCTTTGCTGAAATGTGGTTTTATAAATGGAGTTGGTGACTAATTAAAAAGCAGGCAGAGTGGGTGTGCACCTCAGGAACACAGTGGAGGGGCTGTTCTTGACCATAACCCTAGACCCAACCCCTTCCTCACTGGGAAGGGCATATGGGAATGTAAGCAGCTGGAAGTGGAAGGAACCCAGCTCAGATGGGTGCCCCTTTTCGGGGTGTTTTTTGGTTCCTCATGCCCTCTTCTTCTCCCTCCCTCAATGTCCAGAAACCACTGATTTCTCTTAAAAGATGGAATTCAGTTCCCTACAACTGTATCCAAATCAACCAACCATCCAGGCAGGGTGACTGAAACCTGAACTCTGGAGCAATTGATAATACTAGTTCAGAGTTCATGTGGTCATGTGACCTTGAATGGTCTATCTGACATCTCTGGTGCCTCAGTATCAATATTTGAAATAGGGAGAATATAACACTGGGGAATATTGTAAGGATTAAATGAGCCAAGTCTAAAGGGCAAATTGCAGTGCGTGGCACCTTGCAGGGACTACCAAGGTGTGACCGGAACCCGCCACCCTCAGGATGAATTCAGAATCCTAAGTCAGGCACTGACAAAGACTGTCTTCTTGACTGAACCGGAGTCAGCATCCTAGGTGCTCTTTTCCATTGGAGCTCATCCTTGGGCTCTCTCCTTGGCTCACTTAGTCCAGCTTGAGCCAGAATCCTGTTGAGTTAGCTTAGCAAAAAAAAATCCCCCACCCTTGGTATCGAATCAAATTCCTCCTCTCCCAGGTGACCTCTGCTCACCCTGGTCTGCCTTAGCAGGAATATTTGTGAATGGATCTAGCAAGAGTGCTTGTGGCCTTGATGTTTCCTCTTGGTGACTGTCTACCCACCAACTCCACCTCCTTGGATCTGCCCACTTGTCCTTGTTGTGTTCGGAGCTGAGCTCCATCTCTGTCCTCTGGCTACAAAAACCCAGCTGTAGCTGCCTATCTCCAGGAAAGCCTCCTTTACCATCTTCATGCACCATGAATACATTTCCCTTACCAGCTTCTTGTGTGGCTCTTCATCCTCCCCACACAACAAGAGAAAGTGCTTCTGAATATAGGACAGATTGTGTGGCATCCCTGCTGGACTGTACCTGGAATCAAATTATAAAGATCCTAATTTACCATGCCGCTGCCTTCATGATCAGAGGTCTGACCCTGATCGGGTATGAGTTTTCTCCTGTGTTCATCTGCTACACCAAGTGTGTTCCTATATTCTTTGACTCCAACCTGCTGAACTCCACACAGCCTGAGCTTTAATTCTCCTTGTTCACTCTGCTTAGAATTGGTCCCCCACAAAATTCCCATACCTGGCAGCTCCTTGTCTTCACGTTCTTGACTGACCTATTTCTCTGAGAAAATGTCCGTGCTAACATCATGCAAAATCCCCTTCATTCTACTTCTCTATGTCATCCTGTATTCATAGTTTTATGTCCCTTGTTTCTGTTTGAATTTATCTGTGAAATGTCTGCTTCTCCCATGCCATGTATGTGTACCCAAAATTGAATATAAGCCCCAAGTGGGCAGGGTTCTTACCCTTCTTTATAGTGGTCCCTTCAGTTTTAAAATTGTTCCCAGCACCCAGTGGGAGCTTTTATTTGAATAAATTAATCCTCAAACCCACTTAATGAGGCAGGGGATGGCATACCTGTTTTCCAAGTAGAATTTGGTTGTAGGACCCTTGGCTCAAATGCTTGACTGTTCAATGAATAGAATTTCAAATCCAGGTCTGTTGAAATCAGGAAATCACTCTTTTAAAGCAATGGTAAATTGATAAGGTGTACCACTCAACTGCTTGGTGAACCTCTGTTAAGATGCTTTCAAACTCAAGACCCTGCTATAGTCAAAGTCTATGACATTCATTGAACAATTGAGCATTTGAGCCAAGGGTTCTAGAGAGGTGAAGTCTGTAGCTCTCATTAGTTCATTTGTCCACCAAATTTACTAAAAACTAAGAGGTGGTTTGCTAGGTCTGGAAGATCCATCAGCATGAACTTCCTACCTACCCTCAGGGATTTGCACACTCTCAAAAGGGTCCCAGATTCTAAAAATGTGAACCACTGTGTCCAGTCAAATACTAAGGGAATTTGGTGTGAATCTGACCTTTTGGGTAGTTTGTTCTTAAAGCAGTAGGTTGGGCAGTGAGAATTCCCCAGTCCCCGACACAGAGGCAACTGGAGTTTGATGCAGGAATACCAATTCGAGCTCTTTCATTTTTTCCCTTGATTCCTCTTTAATGCCCAAAGCTTGGATCTCTCATGTGGGACAAGATGGTACCTTCTGCACAGCCGGGTTTCAACCTGGAGTCCCTTCTGGAACAGCTCAGCCAGGAAGAGTTGAGGGAGTTCAAGCGTCTGCTGAGGGCCCTTTCCCTGCAAGATGAATTACAGCACATCCCTCTGACAGAGGTAGAGGAAGCCGATGGGAAGAAGCTGGCAGACATTCTCAACAACCGCTGCCCCAGCCATTGGGTAGAGACAGTGACCATTCAGGTCTTTGACAAGATGAACCGAACAGATCTGTCTGAGAAAGCAAAGGATGAGCTCAGGGGTAAGTAGAAACGAGTCCACACTGTGTCATGGGAGGAAGAGTAGTAGCCTCTGAGGTTTCAGATGCACAAGAGTGACATTGAGCCTTGGAGAAGCTACCTGTCCTGAACCCAAATGCTAGACCTTCATTAAGTCTGGTGGTATCTTTCTTTCTAGCTCTTTCTACTCTGTCCAAGTATTGTATAGCTCCCTTGGCCACCTCACTCTGCATCCCTCACTCTGCTGTTCCTTAAAGTATATTCATGATCCCATTCTTTCATACACCCTCCAAGTTGTTAAATTATTATACACCCTCTGTTTCATTTTCAGTTCCCACTTATGGTGTTTGCTTCCATACACTCTGATGCACACTCCATATGCAAACCCCTACATTCCCTTGGACTAGCAGCCCTAATAGCATTTGAGGCTGGGTGAGGAAACCTCCTTTGCAGGGTATTTAGCAACATCCTTGGAGTCTCAGTGATAGCATTTCAGCACCTCTACCCATTAGATGCCAGCAGCACACTCCCCTCACGTGTGACAACCAAAAAGGTCTCTAGACACTGGCAAATGTCCCCTGAGTGGAGAAGCATGTTTTAGTGGCTGTCAACTTTCTCTGTTATGGGCAATGTCCTCAGGAGCTCTAAATATACTGATGTCCAGAGCTTACTACTAGAGACCATTATTTAGGTGTGGGGTTCTTGGAAGCTTCCCAGGTAACGCCTGTGTGTGCCCAGGGTTTTATAATGTCATCCAGAGCTCTGCTGCCTAACAGAGCAGCCACATGGGGTTAGCACACACTTGGTATGTGGCTGGTTCAATTCAGGTGTGCTACAAGGCTAAAATACACATGGGCTTTTAACTCCAAAGTTTAATGTACTATCTCATGAACAACTCTTACAGACTACACATCGAAGTGTTAACATCTTACATACAGTTACATAAAAATTATGAAAATCATCTGTACTTCTTTACAGCTTTCATAACGTAGCTACTAGAAAAATATGAAATCATTTTTCTCTCTTGCTTTTTAGCAAGGGTATTCAATATCGTTCTTCCTATCCTATGATTTTCTTTTCCTTTTAAAAAAAATGGCTGGTTCTATTCCAGCCAGGGATCCGTTTTTCCCTTTAATGTTCCATATCTTCAGTAGTTAGGTGAGAGTTTTCACCCCTAGCTGGCCTCTGAAGATGACAAATTTGGAAATAGCTGGAAGAAACTCAGAGTTGTATACCTACAAGGGTTTGGCTCTGCAAAGTGCAGTTTCTCCCACTTCCTCCTCTCTTAGAATTAGCTTTTGAAGTTCCTTCTGGGAAATAAATTCCCATCATTAGGTAAGTTACCTCATTTACAGTCTTTTTTAATGAGATTCTGGAATTCAGGAGCTTGTCTTAAATAGACAAGCTGTGCTGAGCACTAAGGATGCGAAGAAAGACAAACCCTCGGGGCGCCTGGGTGGCTTAGTCGGTTAAGCGTCCGACTTTCGCTTAGGTCATGATCTCGCGGTTCGTGGGTTCGGGCCCCGCGTCGGGCTCTGTGCTGACTGCCAGCTCAGAGCCTGGAGCCTGTTTCAGAGTCTGTATCTCCCTCTCTCTCTGACGCTCCCCTGCTCACTCTGTCTCTCTCTGTCTCTCCTTCCTAGAAACAAATAAAACATTAAAAAAATTAAAAAAAAAAAAAAGACAAACCCTCTTCTCTGCTGCTATCCAGGTGGGTGAAGAGTTAAGATATGGGGAACGGAACTCAAAAAAAGCAGTATTTACAGCAGAAATCAGTAAATAACACACAGATGCTGGAAAGAGTGAGCTTTTCCTTGGAATCTGGACCAGCTGGATTTTAGACGGACCTACAGCAAGGGCTGGCCAATCTTGGCTCACAAACTGAATCTGGCCTGCCATGTGCTTTTGTGAATCTTTTTTTTTCTACAAATAAGTTTATTGTCAAGTTGGTTTCCATATAACACCCAGTGCTCATCCCCACAAGTGCCCGCCTCCATGCCCATCG